CTACAACCCAATCCATATTAACCTTCACATGAAGGTATATCAGAAAAGTAAATTATCAATATATCTATCTCAAATTAGACATTAGATCAGATTAGCAAATGAAACTGTATTCCAAGTTAGAAAGTTATATATAATCATGTATGTAAGAACATAGTACTACTACGAGGTACAGTAAATCATCCATGTAAAAGAGCAGAAAATGCAACGGAAAGAAGCCTTCATCAAACCAACTAAACGAAAGACTGATCAAATTTTATGCACGAAGTTTGTACATGGATATAATTCATTCATAGCAAATAAAAAACTAATGGTGAGTCTACTCTGTAACTTTTGAGAATTTTCCAATATTAACTTTAAAGAACATGAACAGAAAGCTACATAAATAACCACAGATAACCTGTGTCCCACTGCCCCCCAGTCATCAACATGATTTCTGCGAAAAACTTCAACGTTCAAAAACTCTAGCATGTGAGTTATTGTGTCACCAATTATGGTGGATCTTAAATGACCAACATGCAATTCTTTTGCAATATTGGGAGATGAAAAATCGACCAGCACCCTTTTGATTGAAAGAGTAGGTGCCCAAGTTTCAATGCCATTGACAAGCATCCTTTGAATATTCTGCAGCCACAAAACATTAAATGCATGCATTCCAGCATGGTGGTATTAGTGAATGATAGAATGATGAATATAACATGTCTTTTTTTACGGTAGAAGCCTTGTGTCAATTATCTACTTTCTGCCAAACTGCATATAAAAACAAACACACACTGCATGGACAATATTTTCCACCCATGGGGCCTTAAGGTTTAATGGCAATGCTCAAGACACACTTGCAGAAAACACATGAAAAAAGGGAGTATGCAAAGCACCTCAGCCATCCATTTTTTTGACACAATGACATTCACAAACCCATTTGCAACGACTGAGGATAACTCTAAGATTTCAGAAAAGGGAAGATTTCTCTTGATGGCCTGCCAAAGTCCAACTCACATTATTTACCATAAGCCCAAGAAATGTAGAATTATAAAGAACAAACAATTATCCAATACTAACCTCTCCCACAGCTAGAGGGTTCTGATAATGACTACATTTTCCTTTCAGTTCAGCGAAGATAACGTTGGCAATTTCACTAAAATAATCAGTGTAGTAGCAAATTATTAACTAACATAACAATAGCATTCAGGTAAACAAATGTAATTAGAATTGCTAACAGGCAAAAAAAGTTACTAATTATCATTGGCAATAACATTCAGAAACAGGTGTGATGAGAAATGACTGTTACACATCACAATTACTCAAAGGTTTCTGTGGCAATGTTGAAACAAACCAAATATTAATAAAAGTTTGTAATCAGAAAAAATAACAAATAAGAAACTATAGTTGTGATTGAATTAATAGTATACCACTTGTAATCACCAAACATCGGCTTGGACAACTTAATCTGTGGCTCAATATTGAACTGAGTATGTAGCGGCAGTAATGTTTGGCAAAGTGAAACATCAAACAGTTTGGCCAGCTCCTTCTTCAAATTACTGGTACTCTCATCTTTCTGACCACAAAGTCAAGAAGGAAAATATAAAAAATAACTCAACATTATTAGTATTTTGGTAAAAATAAATGGCATCACTTACATCTTTTTTTAACGTAGGAGAGACGTTGCAGGGATTTGAAGTGCGGGACAAAATAAATTTTTTGAGTCCATGTTAATGTAACGGATAGAAGCAACCTTATTATCATTAGAAGTTAAAACTTCATGGCCAGCACTGAGTGTGTATTATCATGTACGCATTCATAAGCCTACATGGCTACATGTGATCTAGACTTGTTCTATTATAGATAGTACATATTAACATCCAGAATAACAAACATACATATATATGCATGTATACATACATAAATGCCCGCATTTGGTAGATCATAGGATATGGTGGAGTACCCAAGGACGGGATTGTCCTCAAAACTCATAATGTAATTGGTGGAGTACCCAAGGACAGGATTGTCCTCAAAACTCATAATGTAATTGGTGGAGTACCAAGGGACAGGATTGCCCTCAAAACTTGGAATATAATCGGTGGAGTACCCAGGGACGAGATTGTCCTCAAAACTCTGAATGTAATTGGTGGAGTACCAGGGACATGATTGTTCTCAAAACTCGGTTTATAATTGGTGGAGTACCCAGGGGCAGGATTAGTCCTCAAAACTCATAGACCACAGTTTAATATTATAGGACCGATCAGTGTCCTTAACATATTTGAATGATCAAGGAGTCCTATTCAGTCATAAGTATTTGGGTGGGTTTGGGATTTTAAGTCAAGAGCGTTGATTATTATGATTTTCCTGATTAAACAATGACTTACTATGAGTCAGATATTTTCCAAGTGTATATACTTATATGTATTCCAAGACTTGGGAAGGGAAGTATAAGTGTATGTATCACCCCATGTTTGAGTCTGATATTTGAAACATTAGTACACGTGTATTGACCCTCTGGGTCCCCTACCATTTTTAGATTGAAGCTAGAGCTTGCTAACTGCACCTTTTTACGTTTGAAGTCAACTCAAGGAAGACTTGGTTCGTGCTTCCTTTATCGATTTGAAACTATAAACATTGCTCATAGATATATGGATTTCTATAAACTGTTTTGGGCCTGCGAGTCATGTCTTGGCCGAATGTGGCCCATTATTAAACAGTAAATATTTCCGCTATTTATCGGGTTCAAATGTAATGTTGTTATGTACGTTTACTTATGAGTATGGTATGAACTATATTCATGGACGTCTTGTACAATTAGCAGAGGTTGACCTGAGGCGTGATAGTAATGCTCGTATTTGGCAAGGAAAAGCAACCAGGCCAGCTCGGGTGATGTCCAATGCCAAGGGATATGTGGAGGCTTGGCTTGAGGCGCAACAACATAGAGGAAGTGCAATAGCAGCAGGGAGGCCGCAAGGAACTCAAGTATGGAAATTGCCTGGTGCAGGGTGGCACAAGCTCAATACTGATGCAGCAAGGCAGAATTCTGGCAACGGGCTTGGTTGGGTCGTGCGCAATGGTGAAGACGAGTTTGTTGCGGGGTAGTGGGATCTTGGGAATATTTGGAGGTTGAATCGGACTCTCAATTGGCTATCTCAGATATTCTCATAGACGGCTATAGCATTTCGGAGGCCCTAGACAAAAAATAACATATGAAAAAAAAGCACCCCAAGTTGAAAATGAGATAAATTGAATAAAAATACCATATGAAAAAAGCATATTCAAAGTGCACGATATTATATTTTAAAAGGATAAATTTTTAAATGCGAACTTATTCTTTCTCTTTGTACATCACGAGTTAACTTTCAATTTGCTCGACAATACCTACATATTTATAGACAATACAAAAATCACAAACAAATCAATTAACAAAAAAACCAAAAACTTCTAAATAAATGACAAAACAAACATAATCTACTTTACTACTACCAATACCATCAAATTAATTATTTCACATATTTATCATCTAATACATACAACATCAATATAGCTATAGTAAATTATTAACCTAATAATTTTTAAATAATACAGAGTACTAATTAATCATAAGTCTAATATATCAAGTATTTAACTTTACACCAAATTATTAATCCAATTTAGGAATTTACGTTAAATAGTAAAAAGAAAATTGACTTTGGTGCTGGAGTGCTTCTCTAGTCCTCTGCTTTACAGCAGCTTTAGGCTTAAGGCCTTTTGGCCTTTATATTTAGACCTATGATATTTCACTACTTTATTGATTAAACGTCTAAATTCTAAAGAGAGATTGGAAATAGACCTATAGAGAATCAATGGAATGGGAGAAAGAAACAAAGAGTGATAAGATATTAAGAGAAGGACAGGAGGAGAGAACTAGAGAAGTCAGAAACAGAGATTCACTCATGTCTCGCTCAGGTTGATGGCGGGCGGCGAGGCGGGCGGGCGATAGGCGGAGACTCACGGTCGCTGCTTCAGAAGATTGAGGACGAGAGAAGTCGTTGGCTACTTCCCCATTGGGCAAGTGCTTGGAGGAGCAGTGGACCAATTAATACATCAATACTCCAGATAATTATACCTAATTATACTAGGTAATACGGAGTAGTTTATATTTTGAGACCCTAGGTCATATGAGGCCCAAGGCCGCATTTGCATGGGCTTACTCCCCCATGGCCGCCACTAGATATTCTTAAGGGAAAACTGTCAAATAGGTCCTCGAACTTTCATAAAAAAATCAATTAAGTCCTTCTATAGGAGACTCTGTCCGGTCGTTGCGATTTGGGGCGGTTCCCGGTGGAAGTTTTTGATGAAATTTTTTGATCATCTTATTCATCAAGTCTAGTTTACTCATACCAAATTTCAGCTAAAAATTTAATCGGGAGGGCATTCAAATTAATTCGAGAACGCAAAAATGCGCAGTTATCTTCAAGAATTAATTTGAATGTGTTACCGATTGAACTTTTAGCTGAAATTTGGTATGAGTAAACTAGACTTGGTGAATAAGATGCTCAAAAAATTTCATCAAAAAATTCCACCGGGAACTGCCCCAAATCGCGACGGTCAGACAGAACCTCCTATAGAAGGACTTAATTGACTTTTTTATAAAGTTTGAGGACCTATTTGACAGTTTTCCCTATTCTTAATGGTTTGAGTGCATCGTCAATGGATCTTCTAGCCGAAGATATTCGTGATATTAGTATATGTTTTTCTTATATTACATATTCTTTTGTTAACCGTTTAGTAAACAAAGTTGTTCACAAGTTAGCTAGAGTGGTTTCTTCTATATCCTGTCGTCATGTTTGGGTTGATAATCCCCAGACTTGTATGACCAATGTTTTGGCCTTCATTTTGATTAGGGTAATTCTATTTACAATTATGAATTTACTAATCACAACCACCTAATTAAATTTAAATAAATAAGATTATATCAAATAACTATTTTACCCTTATAAAAATATATTCCACTCCATCTTGGACGAAAATACTCTCCTCTAGTTTTATGCAGAGCCGCAAGCCAACAAAATAAAAGAAGACATCAAACATCTTCCATCCATTGCTTTCCGTTCTCTTCTAGTCCGACCATCAAGGATTTCAAAAAAACAGCCTTTTCATTATCAAAATTTGCTTGTGAAGCATCAAATCCATCCACTACCATCAATATTTTGTTGATTAGTGGATACAGGAGCATCAAGAGTTATATTTTGTAAGCAAAGAATTTTGGGGGTAGCATTTGACCCGGTGATTAGGGTTTCCAAAAACAATCTGAACTTCTTGAATGGTAAAATAGGTATTATAAAAAAATAGTTATCTCTTAGGGAAGTTGGTGAGTGTGTTATAGTAAAATTAGGGCTGCATTTAGAATTACCCCATTTGATTAATGCTAATTAATTATTTTCTCTTCAAAAAACAAATTACAAATGGGCCAAAATAGGGATGCTATCGGTTCATAAACGGGCCAAACATCCCTGTAGCAACGGGAAAGCGAATCTTGACCGTCAGTCAGAGGCAACTTGTGCGTGTGTTTTGGAAATCTCTGAAACTGTTCGCAATCTTCTCCGTACTTTCTTTTCCGCTTTCACCCTATCTCAACTCCCCCATTGCCTATAGGTCAGTTTCCTTTCAGTTTCCAACCGCCCTCAGTTTTGTTTTTGTTTTTTTTTTTATTTTTATGGCTGAGAATTAGTGTTTTTCTCTTAAAGAAATCTCCCGGCATGCATTTCTGAAAACGTTTTCTTTACTCTGATCCCAGGTTTCTTTTTTTGGGTTAAGCGTTCTTTAATTAATACTTCAATTGTCTTCTAGTACATTGAGCGTTCTTTAATTTACGCTCACATTAGTTAGTTTAATCAGGGTAACCTTTCTGTTGAGATTCTATTGAAGGATCAGATGTTTATCAAGTGCATGGTTAATGACTGGAGTGTGATCATTTTTCTTTGAATTTAGTGTTCTTTTATAAATTTTAAATGCCTCATTGCAGAAGAAGCCATAAAGTTTGATTACTTTTCGTTACTCCGTCTGTCATATGAATTTGTTTGCTCATTAAAGTAATATTTCTCAAATTGAAATGGGTTTTTAATAAAAAGAACATTCTTGCAAAGAAGTTTAAGCAACTACGTGTGACTCATTCAAGTGTCTTATTTCAGAGCTGATAATTGGGCTGTGAAGGTTGACAATGGCTGGAGAGAAGATATTAGATAAATGTATCCTTTTTCTGTATATTCTATACATTTTCTTGAAATTGTTTTTGGAGAGAACCTTGAACTTCTTTTACAGGCTTTAGCTTTTGTAAGTTGAGATCATCCTGCCAACTTAATGTATACCCAGAAGGATTTGCCATTTTCAAAACTCAAAACATAAAAAGAAACTCATTAACTTCAAGTTTGGGCTTTTATCCGTTATCATAATTAAAAATAACTTGGAAACCCGTTTCCTTAATTAATATGCATTTCAGTAAAACCATGTTTCTTTCTTGTTGAGATTTCTTGAAGAAAGGTGGTGTTTTTTTACATGATGGGGTTTTATCACTTTTTCTTGTAGGAACTTAGCATTGTTTTTACAGTCAGTATGTAGCAATGTTTATACATTAAAAGTATATGCACACGAACATCCCCATGTTTCACATGCTATATATATTTTTAGAATATAGTTTCCCATTTTTGTTTCTTATCTCATGTTTTCTGTTTTCCTTTATTTTCTTTCTTTTCCTTTTGGGGGTGATATCATGTATCAATTCATGTTAGCCGACCCCAAAATCTTTTGGGACTAAGGCTTGGATGTTGTTGTATCTCATGTTTTCTGTTTTGCAGTATTCCTTGTTTTCTAACACGAGTGTCCGGGGATCTTTGTGTAATTGTGTCCAAAAATCACGCGGGTACTGAAGATAATGTACGGGCAAACCTTCAGCGTTCCTCAGGGATTAGAACTAGTGATTTCAAAAAAACTTTTTTGTTCCTGGTTTCAGACCAGTTGAACAACCAAAAATGACTTTTTGTTCTGATTTTTCATTTTTATTTTACATGTATATGTAATACTTAACATTTTCGAAGCTGAGGCAAGCGGTGCGGGATTGAATCCTGAATCAGTTACTGAATTGACTAACAAGGTAATTGCGTACTTGGGTATTTTCTTTCTCAGTTCAGATTTTAAAATTTTGTCTGTTCTACCATTACTATGCTTGCCTTTCCACTTTTTTGTTATTCTTTGATCATTTTGCCATCAGGTTTCTAGGAAAGTAAGAAAAGCGTGTGGTCCATCCACTTCCATTTCTCCTATGGGGACTGCTGCTGCTCGTGTTAATGGCGGTGTTCATCAATCCATCAGTCTAAAGCCATCTATCACTAATTCAACTACCGGCTCCTATGGTCACCATTATGGAGGTTAGTGAAATGTTCATATTTTTTCTATCCCCTTGTTTTTGTATGGATTTTATGAAGAACAAATTGAACTCTAATGTGCATTTAGTTCATACAATTAAGTGTTTGGGTAGCACATTGAGTTGAATAGCTAGCTAATAGTTGAAATGCTAATAGCTAAAGTGTAATGTAAAAATACATCTTTTATAAGAATAGATGATTGATAAAATGTGGTATTCTATTAAAGTAGCAATAGGGTCTTCAGAAGAAAAAATGAAATGTCAACATCTTATCTCTCATATGCTTCAGGAGTCAAGCTTTTAAACCTGTACTTATTTGGAGCTTTTATTTTATTTACAAGATTGAAATGGTGACTAATTTTCAGCTAAGAATACGTATAAGCTCCCAAATAAGGCTCTACCACACACACATATCCTAAATGGCTGACTAATGATTGTCTGCTATTCTTGCAGGGTATAGTCGACCACCAAATGATGATCAAGGTTACTTTAATGCGGTAAGTGGCTTTTATTTACCTTGATGATGATGGAATTTGCATCTGCATCATCAAATACATTTTTACCTTCTGGCAGTCTGATTTTTAACAATTTTCAGGGTATTCAATCAAATCATGGTTCTTACCTTTACAATCCCCCTGGAAGTAATCCTTACGGCCATGATTTTGTGGACTGTGATCGAAAACATCAACCACATTCATCATCGTCATCAGGGTATCTTCAGCAACAATGGTGCTCATCAAGGAATTCTAAAACCAGAATAGTGGATATGAATGGTTCATTAAAGTCGAATGGTTTTAACTCTTCAGAATCAAATTTGGGCTCTTCAACCCGAAAAATGCCATCTTCATTTAGTTCTGAAAGTCAATATTCTACTGCTCCATCGAAGTACTCCCTCCAAAGCCATCCCAATAAACAATCAAACAAGGTTGGCCTTTGTCATAGTATTAATCTCTTACGCTAAATTTCTGTTATCTACTTACCTTGTTACTGCATTGCAATGGGTTCATGCATTATCTTGAATCACTCATTGGGTTGTCCTAATATTGGTACGTGTGTGAGTAGTGTTTGGCATGCAAAAGGCTAGTGGCTTCTACTCTTCAAAAAAAATGTCTTAGTTGTGTGTTTGGTGACAAGGCTTTTAGAGAGCTTTTTTCAAAAAGTCCGGTGCTTTTTTCAGCATGTCGCATATGAGGAAAATGCATTTAGCTTTCCTTATTTATTTCCTTTTATGGGGATACTAGCTCACTGGTGCATGTTTTTTGCCTGTGTTTGCTTTTACAATAACATAAAAACTACTAGTATAAATGATTTGACATTACCTTTAGATGTGTAGTTACAACAGCTGGTAACCATTTTTTATGAAAGAACTTTTCAGTACTAACCAACATCTGAGCACATAAAAAGTTCAAAAGCTAACTTTTTTGCTGGTAATGGCAAACATACACTTGAATAGTTAAATATTCTTTGATTTCATCAAACAAATCTTTCATCTTCTGCAGTTTAGTTCAAATTTCCAACTTGGAGGCCAATCGGATGGGTTTCACCGGGTTGCAAAGTTTCCATCATATACCAATCAAAACCAAGGCTTTATGCACTATGGTCCAAATAATTACCAAATGAACGGCAGAGCCTTGAATGGTAACTTTAAACCCAATTTCAGAGAAAATTTCTATAAGAACAGAGTGGGAGATGCCTCGGCTGAACTTAATCGTGGTCCTAGGGCGAATGGCAAGAGTAATCCTCTAAAACTGTCAGACAAAAATGAAAACATTCAGCGGAGCATGTATAACAAAGAAGATTTTCAGACTCAGTACGATCATGCAAAGTTCTATGTTATCAAGTCATTCAGTGAAGATAACGTTCACAAATGTGTTAAATATGATGTTTGGTCAAGCACCCCAAATGGAAACAAGAAATTAGACCATGCTTTTCTTGAGGCTGAAAGGAAAGCAAGTGAAACAGGCAAAATGTGTCCGGTCTTCCTCTTCTTTTCTGTAAGTTTCCTTCTGCCTCTTTTATGCTTCCCTAACACAAGCTAGAACTATAGGAAACTAGGTATATGATATATTTAGCTAAAATATCCAAATCTTTTAAAATGTAAGCATAATCTATGACTTATAGCGGTTGCAATTTGCCAAATTCAAAAGTTGTACTTTTTACAAGAGTAACTCTTTTTCAATTCAAACATGAAAAGGTATCCCCTCCATCTCATTGGACATTGCCATCTTTGAGTTGAGTCTAAATAAGAAAAGAAAAAGTTGTGTGGATGAGATTTGTTCAGAGTAGAGATAAATAAGTTGAACCACAATTTCATTAATTTTAAAAGAATTAGAAAGTAAAGTTTTTGGGACAAACAAAAAAGAAAAGTTGGCAAAGTCAGACGGAGGGAGTAATATCATTGTTGCGAAAACTATCACTCACAAATCTTTTATAAATGGAACATTTTTACAGCAGCTTTCTCAATTAATCTCCATTACAAATGAATATAACATAAGTTTATAACAGTTTTGCGATCAAATCTCGATAGTGTTGACAATTGGGATGAGCTAGTTCAAATCATACTAAAAGATTTGATCACCTAGTTCAAATCATGCTAAAAGATTTGATTGGCCAGTTCAACTTATAAAGTTTTATGAACCCATATTTCTGTCTTTAATGTTCTGACGTGTGACTATAAAACATCTCAATATTCACTCTTTACAAGGTGGTAACGCTTGGCATAAATCGCCACCCTTTATCTTGCACAAATCGAGTGTGAAAGGATTTTAGCCGATCAATTATGTCACTTTTCCAACTTAATTGCGATTAAGGTGCTACTAATGATGTTGATTATCTCCTGTAAACTATATGTGTGTGTATTTATATGTATAAGCAATTTGTTCATCTGTGGCTAATTCCTCTCCCTTTTTCTGGTGGATTAAAAGGTTAATGGAAGTGGACAATTCCTAGGTGTGGCAGAGATGATAGGGCCTGTTGATTTTAACAAAAAACTGGATTTTTGGCAGCTGGATAAATGGACCGGGTTCTTCCCAGTCAAATGGCACATAATTAAAGATGTCCCCAACAATCAGTTGAAACACATCATCCTTAAAAACAATGATAACAAGGACGTTACATACACTCGAGATACTCAAGAGGTGCTGCTTGGGAAAAAGATCTAATTATATGCCTTTCTTTATGTGTATTTTTTTAGCATATGCATGGATGGTAACATAAATGCACTGCTCTAAACTTTAGGTCGGGTTGGAGGAAGGTTTGGAAATGCTTAACATTTTTAAAAGTTATTCCGAGAAATCATCTCTATTGGATGACTTCGACTTCTATGAGGACCGAGAGATGTCACTCAAGGCCAAAAGGAGCTCCACAACTTCAGAACAGGGAGCTGATCAGTTCCAGGACAACAATGTCCATGTGAGTCTCATCTTTATCTCACTTCATACACTATCCACACAGCCAATTCTATTCTTTTTTTATCTCTGATTTTAAACAATAAGCTATTCATATTGAATTCAGTTTTCGCGTTCAATAGAACTTCTAGTGTAGCTTCTAAATGTGTAAATTTGAATAAATACTAATAATGATATATATTTGGTTTTCGGTTTCTATATTTGAGTTCTATTATCGAATAACACCAATGAGACTTGTATATAATGCAGATTCAATTCAGAGGAAAAAATAATATTATCGAAGAGGCGGTGCTGGAATCTGAAACTGCGCATTCTCTCATCACTCAAACCAGAAAGCTATCTCTTAAATCACAGCCATTATAAAGCATATGAATTAAAGACTGACGAATGGCACCAGTTTCTTTTCTCCAACATTGTTGACTTATTGATTATTTCTCTTACCATTTTCTAAATAGCTTTGCTAGTTTCTTTTAGCCCTCCAAATAGAACCTGAGGTACTGTTTTGTTATCCCGCCTTATCTGTTCTTTTGCATTTTGGGTACTTGCTTTGAGCTTTTTCTAACCATGTTTCAATTGTTGTTCGAGCAGTGGGAAAGCCAAAACAATGTGCCATTTTTTTAACCTCAGATTTGCTGGATATAATAACAATGCCTGTTAATGTCATTTTTTTTAGCTGTTACATAGTTTGTAGTGCAAGGCTGCAAGCTCAAAAAGATAATGTTATCCTATTTTTAAGCCCAAAATTTCAATTAGAAAAATAATGTACCTATTGAAAAATAATATCTAGCACAACTCAGCTACAAATATATATTGCGAGAGAAAACTAGATTAGGAGATGGTTATTTTGTTTTACGTGACACCCACCGTATACTTATATAGTAGTACTTCAATTACTGAAGAAATTATTTCGAATAGCAGTAGAATACTATTGTATGTACAAACATAAATTTATTTCTAACAACATAAAGCTTAAAACTTTTGGTTTTACTATAAACATAAAACTTCTCTAATTAAGGAAGAAAATAATGAACTTACATTTGTACCCTTTATATTTTACTAAAGTTACTACTATAGTCACTATGTTTAAGAAGTCGCACTTTTATAGATTATCATTGTTTTAGTTAAAAAATGTCATTAGTTCATTTGTAATCAATATCACACATGAATAATGATGAGATTAGAAAAATCTTCTATTTTTAGGCTCATTCAACTACAAAAACCAATCATAGACTTTCATACATTTTTTCTCACTCATAAACTTGCACATTTCTTTTTCAAACGGTGCACAATTGTCAAATCTAACACATCATATGCATTCAGAGTTCTCTCATTAGATAGTGTTTTCATTTGAACCTAATTCTACACCATACATCTTATTCGGTGCATATCTTTTTAATAAGTTTATTAGTGAAGCTAAAAAAAAAGAATACAAACAATAATGAGAGAAGAAATTAAAATAAAACACATATTACTCAACAAATTAAAAGCCCTGTTGTCTCTTTTGTATTGGTTGTAGAGCCTCATTGTGTTGCTTAGACTTGGACAATATCATTGTAAAGTTATCCTCTTCATGTTTCTTTGATGAGCACGCTAATGGAGGATCCAACTGTTATGAGATTTGTCCTAATATTATTTGATTTTCTTTGGGTTTTTTTCTAAAGAATTTGATCAAAGCCTTACCGAAATGATCACAACTTTTCTCGCAAATAGAAAACATCAAAACCTCGCTTTTACACTTGCAAAAAAGGTTCATAGTTTTCCTTCGGAGTATACTTGGGAGATTCAAGTACTTGGTTAATTAAGAAATTTTAACTATTACTCCGTACTAAATAGAATGGATACCGCTAAAAATATACTACTTCTGTCCCGCACTAAGATTTTCATTAAAATGACACATTTTTGGCAAATAATTAGATCATGTATGTAGTTTCAGTAGTTACGGAGTATATAAATATATAATACAATGAGGTAATGTATAATAATGATGATGTTATCATGTTATGGATGCACAGTGCATTAATTTACATTTTAAGATGATGAAGTTGTCATTAAAAAAACTACTCCCTGTCAATTTTATAGAACATCTCAAAAAGGAGGGGTAAAGACAATTAATTGGGGCGAGTAAGTACATCATTATAAATATTTTGTTCAAAATCATAACAAATGATAAAAATGAGCATATTACATTACAAGCAAGCATTTGCAGAAACGAAAAAAAGCAAGCTGGCAGTGTGTGAGTCCCAATATACATACATACATACATCACACAATTGTTCCAAAAGGGTGGAATCTCCCACCATAGGAACCCCCATACCCCGACCCCACTACATACATCACACATGAGTAAACTAAGTGATGAATTTTGGAATATTACATTTTGCATATCAAAATACTTCTTTTTACCCTCTATAAACTTTAGCTATCCGATCCCAAAGATCGAAGGCGTCGTTCCATTCGTGATATATATTAGTGCATCGACATGTTCCTACGCTAGAAAGACTTTTCAAGATTAGCTTTCCGTGTTACTATCTGCATCTGAGTGTCCGATTAGAGTGTAACAAGAAAGTAAAAAGAGGGAGGAAATGGGTAGTCTTGGTTGGGTGGAGCTAGGGGTGGCCCGAACCGGTTTGGCCCAGCCCGTGAACCAGCCCGGCCCGCTACTGTGCGGGCCCAGACAAGTCCGGTTGGGGATGGGCGGTTCCGGGCTTTAGCCCAGTTTGGACGATTTGGGTGGGCCGGGCTCGGGCCCTATTTTTTTCATTTTTTTTCTTTTCCTTGGGTAGGGCTGGGTGTTTCAAACACCGTGTTTGGGGGGGTGGGGTGAGGGAGGGGGGTCGGAGGTTAATTACAAACCCAAAAAAATTACATTGAAACAGGCCCGGACCAGGCCAGCCCAAAACCGGTCCATGCCTAGGTGGAGCTGAAAACATACTTGATCTAATTTTGGCGATGGCACTATATATGCTACTAGGGATGGATTCGGGCCGGGTCGGGCCCGGGCCGGGCCTAGGCCCGGTCGGGCTGCTGGTTCAAGAAAAGTGGGCCCGGGACCGGCCCACGGGTTGGACGGGTCCGGTTCGGGCCGGGCCACCCGCCCGGGTCACGGGTCGGGTCCGGTTCGGGCCGGGCCGGTTATTTTTTTTATATAATTTATATTTTATAGTTTATAGTTTTATACGAGTATTAAAAACAAACTTCAATTGCATTTATTTGAAATGAAATAGGAACTACATTTGAAAATTAAAACAAACTTTAAGAGAAACATTTTGAAAATTGTAATCAATCGGAACTTCCTGCACCTCCCGATCCTTTGGCTTTGTCACATGACTTCATATGCTTGATTGCCATCCCGAATCCGCCTGAAGCCCCCATTATACATTTTTTTCGCACCATTTGCAAATTGCGTACCACATCCCGGTCTACGGGTCCTTCTGCTTATCAAAATTATACCGAATAATGGCATTTTGATTTTCCATCTTAACTTCTTGGAGAAGAGAATATGATAGTAGATATATAATATATTGGAGAATAAGAGAATTAGAGAGTAGAGAGATAAGAATAGGAAGAATTGGAGAAGAGATATGAAAAAATGTTTAAGATTAGGAGTATTTATAGATTTTTTTACACCCCCCCCCACCACCCAACCCCCCCGAACCCCCCCTTTACCCCACCCAACGGCTATATAGCCGTTTGGGTTGTCCCCAGCCCCACCCCCAACGGCTAGTAGGAGCCCAAACCAAAAAAAAAAAAATTAAATTGAACCGGACCCGGGCCGGGTCACAATAATGCTGAACCGAGCCCACCCCGCCCCTTCCCACCGGTTCGGGCCCATACCCGGTCCCGGACCACCCGACCTGGCCGGTCCCGGGCCCGCACAGTACCAGGCCGGGCCGGGTCACGGGCCGGGTGGCCCGAACCGAATCCATCCCTATATGCTACCTAAGGTAGCCTACCTTCATCAATTACTATGATATTTGGACAAGTTGAATTTGAGCTAAAGGAAACAATAACGCCACGGAGCAAACAAATCTTGTGAACTCACAAAGAAGATGCATATCATATATCATTATCAATGGGGGGGGGGGGGTAGGGATGGATTCGGGCCGGGTCAGGCCCGGGTCGGGCCGCCGGTTCAAGAACAGTGTGCCCGGGACCGGCCCAAGGGTTGGACGGGTCCGGTTCGGGCCGGGCCACCCGCCCGAGTCACGGGTCGGGTCCGGTTCGGGCCGGGCCGGTTAAGTTTTTTTTTTTAATTTATATTTTATATTTTATAGTTTATAGTTTTATACGAGTATTAAAAACAAACTTCAATTGCATTTATTTGAAATGAAATAGGAACTACATTTGAAAATTAAAACAAACTTTAAGAGATATACATTTTGAAAATTGTAATCAATCGGAATTTCCCGCACCTCCCGATCCTTTGGCTTTGTCACATGACTTCATATGCTTGATTGTCATCCCGAATCCGCCTGAAGCCCCCATAATACATTTTTTTTCACACCATTTACAAATTGCGTACCACATCCCGGTCTTCGGGTCCTTCTGCTTATCAAAATTATACTGTATAATGGCATTTTGATTTTCCATCTTAACTTCTTGGAGAAGAGAATTAGAGAGTAGAGAGTTAAGAATGGGATTTAGGAAGAATTGGAGAAGAGATATGAAAAAATGTTTAAGAGTAGGAGAATTTATAGGTTTTTTTACCCCCCACCCCCCCCCCCCTCCCACCCCCCCCCTCCCACCCCCCCCCCCCCTACCAGCCAACCCCCCCGGACCCCCCCTTTACCCCACCCAACGGCTATATAGCCGTTTGGGTTGTCCCCAGCCCCACCCCCAAGGCCTCAACGGCTAGTAGCCAAAAATCAAAAAAAAAAGTTTTTTTTTAAAAAAATAGACCCGGACCCGGGCCCGACCCGGCCGGGCCGGGTCACAAAAATGATGAACCGAGCCCGCCCCACCCCTTCCCCCCGGTTCGGGCCCAGACCCGGTCCCGGACCGCCCGACCGGGCCGGTCCCGGGCCCTCACAGTACCGGGCCGGGCCGGGTAACGGGCCGGGTGGCCCGAACCGAATCCATCCCTGGGGGGTGAGAGATGATCGAACTGTGTGGTGAGAACACAAAGAGTAACAAGAAAATAATGATATTTTCTTTTGAACTGCTTTCAGTCCCAAACCAGATCAGACTTCCATATTTATAATTTATAAAATACATAAAGACTAAACATTTTCCAGACCAAAGTACCATACCAACAAATCCCAGTCTAAGGATGTTTTTATTTGAATATAATTTGCTGATCTAGTCTGAACTGATCTGGCTTCTTTGTATTTTTATAACTATCCAAGTCTGGTCTGGTGTGAACTGGTCTGGTCTAGTCTGAATTAGAGTCCAAGTAAAAACATCTTAAAAGAAAACATCCTAACAAGAGGGAGGAAATGGAATCCTACTCTCAAAATATTAAGTTAACCGATTTAAACGGAGCTCAAAAGTCAAAACGTACTCCATCTAATTTTGTTGATGACACTATATATACTACTTTCTTCAATTACGATATTCTTAAATTCTTCAAAACAAAACAAAAAATCTTAAACAACAATTATATTTCTTAGACAATAAAAATCATAGTATAGTAGTACAACATATGGGGAAATGATATTTTAGCAAAACAAAAACTAGGAAGGTAGATACAAAAAACAAGACCAAAACTGAAGACCTATTGAAGTCATATAACTAGATACCAATATTAATTTTCCATAAAATTAACGTTGTTGGCTCCTTATGGTAAGAGAACATGCCTATGTGAAAAAAATTCCAGCTAGTCACAATAGAGCTTGATGATACAATCACTGCCTGCGGTAAATAACCAGGGTTGCTTTGGGTGGAACGTACAGTCAAGAATGCCTGAAATAGAAATTTAAATGTCAGGGATAAACAGCAAAGCTAGGTTTCAGCAATTTTCTTTCTTTTTCATTTTAAAAATACCTCTTCCATTTTCCCTAACATGACCGCGGAGGATCTCCAGAGGGACGATAAGGGGATTCTGGTTCAGGTCTGAATAAACCATGCCATGGAAGACATATGCAGTGCAATCATCAGAACACGAAGCAAACAAAGGGTAAGAACGATGAAAGGCCACTTTGTTAATGTCTTTTGGATGACACCTACAATATTTAGAATAGCAAAGAGAGAAAAGATCAGCCAAGGTCATTCCTAGATAAGCACAAAGAGAAAAGTAAGTGGAATGGAATTATCTAACACTCGTGAAGTAACGATTGGCCAAGGTCGTTCCTAGACGCTCACTTACCACCCATAAGGTCACCATTAGGGTATGTTTGAGTCACGGAAAATGGCAGGGAACGGTAGAAAATTGATAAATTTTTGTGTCTAGATTTGCCTCGTAAGAGGGAAAAACAAATATAACATGTTTAGTTTTTATTAAAAAGAATAGATTCTATATCTTCATAAAATAGACCAGAATAAATAAAATGTGCACCAACAAACACCTAAAAGAAATTCATCGAGTCTTATTCCATTTTATATCTTGTCCAACAATACCTCCACTAACTATTTACTACGTTTTCCTTTCCCAGATTTATAAAAATATATTTCAATTTCTTAGTCTTCACAAATATTCATAAAATAGACACGAACAAATATATTAGCGCCAACAAACACCTGAAATAAATTCCTTTAGTTTTCTTCTATATATACTTTCACCAACAATACCTCCTCAAATTTTTCTCTACGCTTTCCTAGTATTTTTTGGATTAAAATGGACGCTTCACTAGCTTGTGATTGATTAGTTATCCTACTTCATCAGCATTTTTATAGAAATCCTAGGCATAAATTGCAATGTTATGATTTATTATATAAATTTTAAAAATTGGGTATTCTAAAAGCAGGACAACTATATGCACCCCAGGGGGACGCTCATCTAAATATGCACCCCATACTTACTTGAGGACTCTATAAGGCTGAGATGAAAGGTCCATGTCAAACCAACAAAGTTTCCCTTCTTTGGTTCCAACAATGACATGGTCACCTGCATGCAAAGGCACATGAACGTGCTGTCAATGACACAGAAAGATTATATAAGAATTTAGCTTCATATGAAAATGTAAGCTTTGAACTTACCGCTTGAGTGAATGGAAAAAGAGGATACTTCCCTCAATCTAGTTTCAAGTTTTTTAATGGGCTTTTGTGCCTTCAAATCAAAGGCACGGACATTTCTCCGGGTTGATATGAAGAACACCGAGAGAGTAGGATGAAATGCTGTTGATACTGGAATTCCATGCAGCTTGAATGGCATTAATTGAGTCTGCTTCTTTGAGATATTATGAATAAATGCTGCTCTTGATTCACGTGGGAATGAGTTAAGAATTTAACATTGAACCAATGAAGAACGTAAATGACTAATGAAATGGGGATTGTGAAAATGAGACTCCTGAATCTCATTAATAAATTTGTAAGGCTTCCCACCTTTCCCTAGCATTTTTCAAGATCAAAACATATCCTAAATGAATGCAGATTGTGAAAATGAGACTCCTGAATCTCATTAATGCAGAAACTCATGTAAGTTGACTTCAAAATGAAAATGTAAATATTCTGCTGCCAAAGGCAGGTTCAACTACGAGGTTCCATAGGACATTTACTCTGCCAAAAAGGATATCAAATGGCGCAAGAGTTGATAAATAGTTCCCTCTACGATGCCATTCAACAGAAGTAACTTTCTGCAGACCACAATAAACTTACACAAGTCAAACATGATAAATCCTTACAATTAATTGTCAGTACATAGTGTGTAATGAAGTGATGTAAATATGAAAAGAAAGCAACTTTTTATGTACCTTGGGGTGTTTTAATCTGATTCCTTCATGTTTATCATCCTTAGACCAGCTCACAATGTTAGTGTTGCTATCTGGGCCACCACAAGAAAAATACGTGTATAGCTAAAAAGCCTAAAACATTAACCTTTGCAAATATTGCTAAAAGACATTTGCATCATACTGACCAGAGTCATCTGTTACTAGTGGTGTATGAGAACACAATAGTTCTTCAACCCTCTTTTGTCCTTCTTCATCCCCAAGCCCAGTGTTCAAAAGATAGACATCTGTTCCACTGCATAATCAGTTAATGACTTGATGTGAGGATACTTTTGTGTCAATCAAAATTTCACAGTTTAACACTGCAAATATATTAAACTACTACATTTCCTCCATCCTATGAATACAGAAAATTCTTTAGTCAAGGCACAACTTTTAACTCCTAGCAAAGTACAACTTATGAAAGCATGATTGTCACTGCAGCTATGCCTCGCACTGCACCAGTACACCGTTTTGTTGTCTGGACTGGACAATTGCCGAGGCGACAATTAAGCATAGCAGCTTTATGCAATATCCAAATGTAGTATATTATAAAACATAATACTACTTAATAAATATAGTACTACCTCCGTCCCAAAATACTTAGCCAAATTCAAAACTTTGAACAATTAGATATATTTATTGGAAATTATTTATAATATAAAAAAGATATGAAAATGTTCTTTGTTAAAAGTACTTTTATAGAAGTATAAAATTTATAACTTTCATCAAATTGTACTAATCAAAATCGTGATCCAAGAAAGAAGAAAAAAAGAAATAAATGTCTATTATATATATTATAAAAAAGGGGTTGGGTTCCCGGGTAAAAACTAGATTTAGTAAAACAACAATTCTGGGTGTCGCTACGAATGCTGCCTACTTTTCTAGTCAACATCTAAGCTATCTCATTCAATGCCTGGTACTCTTCAAGCAAGGCGACAAGCTATGGCGATCGATCTCCCTAGTATTGCTTGATCAAATAGGTTTGCTTTTTCCTGGAAAAACAGCTTTTGAAACGAGATAATTTTTCTGGGAAGGAGGGAGTATACACTAATCTGTTAAGCTTACACAGCGACTGCCAGAATAGGAAGGCTGGGCACAGTATTCCAAGAAACAAGCTGAACTTCTTCCTCCATCTCCCAAACTTTTATACATCTTCCCGTTTCAACTTCCCATAAGCGAACAGTTCCATCACTTGAACCTTAAGGAACAATAGTTGGTAAATGATTCTATATGAATTTATAACTTGAACAAATTGAGAAAAAATCTTATAAGAAGCCAAACCAGATGCGATCCACTGCCCACTAGGTTCCGTACAAATGGAAACAACTGGACCTTTGTGACCTTTATACTCGAGATAGCATGTTGTTGGGTAAGGTCTGAGGTCCTTACGACTTGGCAGCTTTGGTTTCAAAGACTCAGGATCAATATTTAGCTGAAAAAAATAAAAATGGCAGGGCCAGCCTCCCAAGGTTAACTTAATAATCAAAAAAAATATTTCAGTTGCTATGAATATCGAGAAACTCCTTGTCAGTGGAATGTTTTTAAAACTGAAATACAACTGTTCCTATTCATTTACCCGCTTCTTACGAGCTCTGGGGCATAAATAAAGATCCAAACAACGATCAAATGTTTCTTTGACAGTTTTATCGTAGGCTGGAACACTTCTCAGTGAAGGAAACCTAAATAGAAGTATAGAACCAAAAACACATTGATGAATATCTTCAGCCAGAAAGAAGCAAAAGGAATGAACATATTATTGACTAACTATATAGGCAGTGAAATGTACTGCTTCGGGATGAATTTAGGCCGATCTTCCTCAAACATAAGCTCATAAGATTTGATCTCGTCTTCTGTTGGGATATATTCCAATGAGGGGTTGTATGATTCCTCATGACCTGAAACAACAATTATGTTAGATGCCAAGACATCCCTTTTATGAAAAGGTGAACTTTTATGTTTGGTTTGATAGCTTTTGAAAATCAAGAAGTGGGAGTTCATAGGAGTATTTTGGATAAGCAGAAAAGTGAGGGAAGAAAAGAAAGTTGCAGCACCCGAGTATAAGAAGGAAACCTCTTCTCATATGCTGAGATGGAAGGCAGGAAAAGTAAAAATTGGAACCAAGAAGCCAACTCATATGAAGACGACTTATTTATCCTTTATACTAAAAACATGTCACTAAGAGTCACTAGTAATAAATTTGGCAATCCCACTCATTTTACTGTCTTCTATTCTTTCCTACTTACCAACTAAACAACTTCAAAACTGCATACTTTCTAGTTTCTAATTTTCTATTCATTTTCTCCTCGCCTGATTCTTTCTTCTTTCTTTCCGACTTCATTATTTCCTACTATATCTTCACCCAAACAAAGTGTTAAAAACTGCAATTTGGCATTTATAGAGAGTTGTCACCTGGCAGTTTAGGCTTTGGAGCAGGAATATACGATAATCCTTGTCTTTCCACAGAACTCGAATCATCTCCCCATAAATTATAGAATCTTGGTTCTTCTTTTGGTTTGTCATTAAATTTTATCAGCCCCTTTCGTATTGCTCTCACATACTGAACGACCTGGATCCAGAAGAAATAGTAATTTACAACTAAATCATACTAAAGCTTGTTAGGGCTTGGCAGTATGGAAGTTATGTGAGGTATAGTGTTAAGATATTGTGATTAAGTTATCAAGGCTACACAGCAGAACATCAGCTCAATCTGTAAAACAGGATATCCCCCACTACATGCAAATTGAAGATATTGACACTTGGCAGAGGGAATAATGTATGAAATGTTGTTCACAGAAGATAGCCTAGAATGCATTTATACAAGTTCTTACTGCTTCAAAAGATAAATGGGAAAATTGTAAAATAAACCAGTACTACAGAAAAAATAGAAATTAAGCCCTTGTACTATATAATCAACCAATCAGCCCCCCAAACTATCTAAAAAATAACCCAATCTGCTAACGTGGATTTCCATGTGGATTTCCATTTTAGCAGATCACCAAAGGGTTTGCCTGTTATCTGCTAACGTGGATTTCCATGTGGTGTTTTTTGGGAAACTTCGCTGAACGGCTTCCTTACCATGGATTTCACCTTATCTCCAAATTTCGTAGAGCATATGGAGGCGATTATCGGAAAGGATTTCGGTGGCAACGATGTAGCGTAGATTCCGCCAGTCACTGACTGATGTCCAGACGAGGGAGGAGTAGTTGTACCCTATATACTTTTCGGCCATGGGACGGGGACTATTCACAAAGACGGTTTCATTTTCCAACAGACATTCTTCCACTCTGGACAGAATTCGATTAGAATGACCGGTCAGTGGCAATTAGAAATATTTGTTAATGTTTTGTGGAGGAACTTCTTGAGAAGGTAGAGATGGTCGATGACAGGGAGGATGAGGAACGGCTGGGTCCTCAGTGTTCGCCACAGAAGTTGACAAATGGCGGAGTAGCATAGCTCCAGGTAGAGCGCGGCTCACATGAGAATTCACAATTACGTGAACTGCCTCTGAGGGCGGGTGGATACCGGGCACTCGGACTTGCTCTTCTGAGTGGGGAAGACGAACAGTGGAGATTGGGTGGTCAATAAAGGTTTCCTAAACAAATACTCCACATGGGAATCCACGTCAGGAGATAATAGGCTAACCAGTTGGTGACATGCTAAACTGCGGGATTGCTTTTTTTTGTAGTTTGGAGGTTTGATTGGGTGATTCTATACTATGAGGGCTTAACTGCCATTTTGCTATAGTACAGGGCTTATTTGAAAGTTGTCCCAAAATAAATCTAATGTAAAATACTCAAATGTCTGCTTACTCGTTATATGGTGTTTCTTGAATGAAACAAACAATATTGAAACAAAAAATTATGCAACTGTTCATGGTCGGAAAATAGATGGGATTAAATATGTAACCAGAAAGCAGAATTGGGAGAAAAGCACGTATCTCAAAGCAAAATTAGAAATTTGACATCATATATGCAATTAACTTCTTGCAGTCTAACCTTTTTGCTCTCCCACTTTGAGGGAATGAAACGTCTTTTTGGTTCTGGGGCACTCGAAAGTGGATGTTTTGCACCATCCCAGGCAAACCAGTCAACATAATCCTGCAAAAAAAAGGAAAGAGGATGGCCATGACAGCACTGCTTTAAACTGAAATGGGGGTTTAGCTGCAAACTACCCAAAAAAATGTCACAAGGTGGACTGCACAAACCGGATAAGGATCAAAAGCAGCATGAGGTGCCTTTCCTTTCATCATTCTGCGTATAATTTTGACCTCTTCTTTGGTCAACTCCACCTCTTCATCATTATATTCATCATAAATCTTACGCCTGAACCACATAAGTGTAAAATGATTATGCTTGGATTTCAAATTGGACATAGACTATTAGCACATTATATGCACACAAATTCAACAACTCACCAATTTTTGGAGTCATCAGCACTGGCGAGAAATGAATCTAATCTATCTTGTTTCTCCTTCTTTTTTATCTTCTTCCCTGCAAGATCATATCCTATATGTTCCTCATCTTCGTACCATTTCAATGGAACGTCCCCCACAGTATTTCGAGGAGCAACCTGATAGAAAACCATTCCCAAAAGATGGATAGAACTACAAATTTAGTAGAGCTAAGAAGGTAATTGTCCAAAATTTGTTAATAGTTAAAAATACAAATTCAAGAAAAAAACAAAATGGCAATGTTTTAAGACATGCTTTCCCTGTCAGTCTATCACTACATGCCTTCTTTTTTTGGAATGTCACATCTTAGTTTCTAAAGAGTGATCAATGTTGAAAATAAATTCCATAACTCATCGTCATATATTTCCCATATCCATGGAAAATGTCATGAGAAGTTCATAAGCTGAGATAGTTGACAATACTTTATTTAGAGATGTCATTATGTCAACATAAATGCTAAAATCTACAATGCAACTTACTTTCCCCTTCATAAAACTTACAAAATACACAAATACAAAGAAGTATTTTTGTTGATTAAGAAAAGAAATTGAAACATACCTCATCTTCGGATGAGTCACTCTCCTCAACTTCTGGATGGGAATCATCACTCTCATCCTCATCCTCTTCACTATGACTCGCATCATCAGAAACATCCTCACCATCAGATGAGTCAGAATCATCCTACAACAAAGGTATGAGCTCTGAAGGATAACTAGTGGTAGAGAATAAGTAAATATGTAAATAAAGCACATGTGTTCTATCCTAAATAAAAAAATGTGTTCTATCCTAAATATTTTAACAAATGCAGTGTTATGTAAGGGCACAAAGGGGTAAAAAGGGAAACGGTGTCCGATGCTTCAGGCCTTCATATTCCAAATCTTAACATTTTAGTTCACTACAACGGTACAACCAAACCAACCCCAAAAAAGTTCATAACATATAGTAGCCTGACTTGTTTTGAAAACGTAAAACATAACTATAACTTCTTCATAGGAACATGTTTTAACATCTTGAGCACAGGCTGCAATCTTTATTAAATATTAACATATTGAATCTAACAAACTTTACATTTTTTTAAATTTTTTTACCATATGTAAGGTACAACACGGAACAATCATTTGGAAGTGATTTTAGGTTTTAATATTAAAAAAGGGCAGCCTGGTGTACGAAGGCATCAGCCCAAGGCGATGGTTCGGGGGAGAGTCCCACCACAAGGTGTATAAGGTGCAAGCTTTCCCTTGTCAGATTTGACAAGAGACCGCTCCCAAGACCTCTCGGTCACACAGCAACACCTTAACTGGTGCACCAACGCTCCCTTTGAAATAAAATTTGAATGCTGTTTGGAACACCTTCATAATGGAAAACTTGAAAACCAGGTTAAATTTAGATGTTGAAATAAGATTTTTTTCTACTGCGGGACTAAGTAATGGTAAAAACGTTAATTACGTTAATTTATTACTACGTATATTTGATCTTCTGACTTTGCCTCCTACCATGATTCAGTTCTCTAGCTATAAGAAATTTTTTCTATGACTTATGTTCAATAAAATTACTTCCAAAAATCTAAATTCGGTCTTCGAACTCATCAAGTATAAGGCAGGTTAGCTAGTAGCAGTGCATCAAAAAAAAATACAAGAATGAAGCTTATGTATAAGCTTGAACTCAAATGATTGTGTCTCTAAATAAAACATATGTATGGGGTAGTTTGATACCTGTATTCTAATTTCCAAATGAGAAAAAATCAAAATGGAGAAAGGAAAAATATAAACTGGAAGAAAAAATCAAAACAGAGACAGAATATACAACTACCCAAGAGCTATAAAAACTGTAAAACATAAACAAGAAAACAGGAAAACAAAAGTCAAGAGCCCTAAGCTTTCCTGATTTAGTGATTATCACCAACCCCAGCCCATTAACTCAAATTACTTAAGGTGATAAGGTAGAATGCGTGATGAAATTTAAACAGCCAATCATTTGTCTAAAATTAGTCAAAAACATATCTGATGCAAAAAACATGGAATTTTATCAATGTGGGACCCGAAAGATAGACAAACTATCAACTCGAGACCTGAAAGATGAAATGTATCGGTATAGGACCCGAATGATGGAAAACTATCAATTTAGGACCCGAATGATTGAAAACTATCAATTTAGGACCTAAGTTTTCATAAATTTTATTATTATTTTTATTTTAAAAAATTTAAATAATATTTAGTTTTATTAAACTAATAAACTTTTGTGAAGAAAATTTCACTAAATATTAGCAATGAAATTGATAAAAAATTAAATAAATCAAAACCTATGAAATGTTAGGTCCTAGATTGATAGTTTTTCATGTTTCGAGTCCTATACTGATACATTTCATCTTTCAGGTCCCGGATTGATACTTCGTCTATCTTTCAGGTCCTATATTGATAAAATTCCTACAAAACATATGAATATTGGATGCTATTCTTGTGACATATCTTCTGAAGAAGAACAAATGAGAAGGAAAAAAACTCATCACGTTGCAATTTTCCTTGCTTCTATTGATAGTATCATGGAAGGATAATAAATTCGGTAGTTGACATGGTTGATTTAGTGGTGTGTCTAAAAAAATACTAAAACCGATATTGCAACTTCACTCCAGCATAAAAAGCTTCTAGAAATACACACAGGCAGAGAAGTACTTCTCTTGGAGCAAAGGAGTAGAAACATACCTCCCTGTAAGATGAGTCACTCTCATCAAATTCTAGATGGGAGTGATCATTGTTATGCTCAACAGAATCATCATCACTTGAGACAAGTACATCCTGAAACAAATATATGACCTCTAGTGTATAATTAATAGTAGAAATTGCGGAAGAAAGCACATATCTATTCTATGCTAGTTAAGATGTCAACATATGTGGTATTACTAAAAGAACATCTAGGCGCAAAGGGTTCTCTAGTTCTCTGTCCTTCAACTTCCAAATCTAAATATGAAGTTCACCATGACCCAATTAAGCAAGTTCATCACATCTAGCACCAGAGTGATGTAAATTCGCCATCAGCCTTCAGTTTGTTGAGAAACTTTTAACAAAAAAAAACTGTTTTGAAACCCCATGCATGCAACATATTGTTAACATGATATACCGTCATACTACCTCCGTTCTTAAATAAATGCAACACTTTGACTTTTACACTATTCACATGTTCTACTTAGACTACGTTTTATTTATTAATGTAATAATATTATTTTATGAAAAAAATATTGTTAAACTTGTCTCATTGTAAATTTTCATAATCTAATTTTTTTAATTTTTTTACTAATACAAAATCATTTATATTAATGGTCAAAGTTGTGTCTCGACAAGTGTGAAATGTTGACCGCTGCATTTATTTAAGAACGGAGGAAGTATATTGTAAAATAGTGGATTTAGGAGTTAGGACAGTAAGGAATCAACTTGTTTTTGTTAGTCCTGTATAACCTCAGTAGCTGGGTCTTCAGTTGTGTCTTGTGCAGCATTGCCACCTTGTCTCATGATAGTTGAGCAATGAAGTAACCTGAAAAGTAAAATCACAAAGTACTCATTTTTAAGTACCTTTTGCATTGATAAATATTCTTCTTGTCAGTTTAGGAAAAAATCTAGTGTATATATAATGTAATAGCAAAAGGAAACTTGCAGAGCAAGTTCCTGTCAAAAGAGTCCCATGGTATGGTCGTGCACATGCACATCACCAGATTAGTTCAGCATAACTTAGAAACAACAACCCACCACATCATAAGATAAATTAGATAACATTAAAAGATCCTTACAAGTAACTATCTTATTAAATTTAATACTTAATACTATGTTTAAATTTAGTTAAACAAGTTAACAACCACATTGTTGTGACAATGCGATATGGTATATTCCAATAATTCATGTTCAGAAATTCTTTAGAAACATTTATGGATATCCTATTTCTTGGTGAAGTAAAATAAATTTGAGAACGTGCTGATAAAAAATGATAATAAATGATATTAAGTGCTCCTGTTAACAAGAAAATGTTTTCAAATGTATACAGAGTGTGTAAGAAGTTGCCGACAGAGTTGCATTATTAAAAAATGACATTGATATATTAATTTGATCACCATTTTTGCGATACAAGTTGAAAGCAGTGCACTGTTAAGGTATTTGTAACAGCATTTCAGTAACTATCTCTACACATCAAAGAGATACTAAAGCTTTTGTTATAAGCACTAACCCAATCAAAGTTGTTAACACAATAATCTAAACCAGAATTCATCATTTCTTCTCATTGGAAATCTATATAATATAGTAAAACACAAAAGTCCCAAGGAGGGAGGACAAGGGGTGTTGGGCGGGAAAAAACGTACATAGAAAATAAGGAAGTTGCACCGTTGCATGGCAGCAGTTTTCACGCCAAACAATTAATCACTTAATTAAGGATTATTGTATTTCAATTGTTCTAGAACTCTTTAATACTATGGATGCACCTACATATAAAATACCGAGTGACATAAAGGAAGAAAGAGAAAATGTTCGGTTGCAATGATGTCTTTCCATTTATCTAGGTCTTGGATGAATAAAAAGACTGTTAGATTTAAATATTATGTCTTGAGCTTCTCGAAGCATTTAATTGCATTAGCCTTTAGGATTCACCGAGATGTGTACATCTTTTTCCATAGCATTAGTAATTAATTTTTGTATTCTTTGTTATACGGAGTATATACTATGGTATTTTTCTCCCCTAGGTTGTGCTTCTCGAAGTACATGCAGACAGTGTAAACAATTTAAACTAATTAATTGTCTTCTCAAGGTTCAAGAATTAATGCAATTACATATGGAGTGAGGCTTGGAGGCCATTTTGAAGTATTCTTCTAGACTCCTAACATGTTCTCAATGTGGAATTCTTCAATTAGAAACTCTTCCAATGTAGCTTTCGATGAATAAATACTGTGGATGCATTTCAATTAAAGGCTACATAATAAACCTTGACTTTTTGAATTTCATAAGAAGCATTATCTAAAAGCTAAAGATGACCAATATAACTCTATAAGCCTCACATATGTCGTTGGTTTTAAAGATGTTCCTGATGAGTGATGAATAATCATCTCTACATTCATTTAAGCTTTACATAATGAATGATTTCTTTAGTATTTTCTTTTATACATTCTGTTCAAAATTTAAACAGATTTAAGCCAATTGAGAGTATATTGAGGTTAGTTTCTTAATGAACCTTAAAAATGTGCTTTGGTCAATTGGACATTTAAAAAAAATTACTTCAAAAAATTGTAATTAAAAAACTGATCTTAAATTAATAACTTGGTTTTCTTATATAAAAATTGTAGAACTTATATTACGGATTAAATTTGTGATAAGCCAAAATACGTAGTAGAGAAACTAGGAGAATTTTATACTTTTTCAGTATCATTTTGTGATCAAATTTGACTACTTCCATATATTTGCCTTCAACCATATTGCTGGTACTTAAGTTTCATATTACTGGGTACATAAATTGAAGGGTACATAAAGCTTAGATTATGTACACAAATTCCACATAAATTGGGTTCCTTAACTAAATACGAATCAAAGAAATATAGAAATATGCTCCATTGAATACGCTTTTCATGTTTAATTTTGATCACCAGATAGACGACATCCAGTTGTTGGGTACAACAATTAAATAATAATGATATAAAGGTATAATGAGTCCAATTATTTTCTAACCAAAATAAAAACCTCTCAAAAAACAAATATACAAAAACCCCACTTTTAGGCTAACCGATTTTTCGAGTGATTTTTGACCGGCAGAGGGCAAGTTTTCTGAAAATAAAAACATTCGTAAATTTCTGCCATTTTGAGATCTTAGGTAAAGATTTGTTATCTTATATTTTTTCTTGTTGGTTCTGTCGTTCTGGTGACGCGTGTGGGAAAATAAAAATGTGTTTCTGGGTTTTCTTAGGTTTCGACATACAAAGATATTACTAATTTAAGTATTTAACTAAATATTTATAAAAAAAACAATGAACTAAGTTATTATTGAGCTAATCAATAAAAGCGGACTGAAGAAATACCGGGACTATGAATGGTTGGATGTGAAAATTGAGGGAAGCGCCGATTGACTGAGCCGCTGAAGGTTGAGTGGCTGAGAGCAGGTGACTGAGCGACGGGAGTGATGTGAGTAGTTGACGACTGAAGAGGCGTGCTGCGGTGCTGCTGATGTGCTGCGTGTTGGCGTCTGACGGAGGATGAAACCGCGAAGAGAATCGGTGACTTGAATATTGGGCCTAGGTCTGGTATCCTTGTGGTTCTTACTCAAAATCCGTAAATTTTAACAAATTAAATCGGTTCAGTTCCGATATAAAAAATCAAGAACCGATATGGAACCGAACCAATATTAAACGGTTAGGTTCTTGCTTTTATCGGTTCTTAGAATAATTTTTTCGTGTAAGAATTTACACATAGTTTAGCTTCTACCACATGAAAACGTCAAAAAGTCAACAAGTCATAAACATTTATTTAGAGTTCTAATCGTTCCAAACATCAAAGCTCAGGCTTAAGTTAACACTTAATAGAATAAAAAGAAAATTTTAATTTTCATTTAATACATAAAATATAAAAATCGTTGGTTATATCGTTAAAATGAAGGTTGCTCATCATTATAGTGGCAAGGATATGAGTACACTTTTTGCCTCTCAAAACCTCGAAATACATTGAGTTTGCATGTACAAATATAAAAGCATCACTACATTCTACTCCTATTGATGGAACAAAACTTGATTTGTAAAAATGAGCTTAATGTATTCAACCTCATGTGCAAATATTTATTATTTTTGTTTTCATAGATTAAATTAAATTAGAATTATTGGCTAAATATCATTCATTTATTATTATTGTTGTTGTTGTTGTGTTTATTTTTGTTATATTAGTATCACTACGAATACTGCTACTATTTTTTAAAATATCAGTTCCTTAACGGTTCCGTGCATATATTTTTTATAGGAACTGGGAACCAAACCATTAACAACAACTAGGAACCGAACCGTTAATAACTTTATACCTCATTTGTAGGAACCGAACCGGGTTATAACAGTTCGGTTCCAACCATTTTAACGGTTCCCGGTTCCAAAATCCCACCCCTAATTGGGCCTAATATTTTATTAATCATATTTGGGGCTGCATCCCCATATCTACTTGATGGATAGTGTACCCGAGGGGTAGCTTATCCGAGAGGTTATTGCTGAGAATAACTTAGAGAGAAGTCAGAGCAAGTAAATGTAGAGAGAGAGTGTATTCAGTATGAATGTCGTGGTTACAAATGGGGAAATGGGGGCTATTTATAGTAGCAATAAATGCCGGACAGGGACACGTGTCAAGCATCCGTTGGCCGAGAGGTCACCTCATCCGGTTGGCGCTGGCAAACGCATGTGGCCGCATTTAATGCGGCTGTTGGATGGGACGTCTGTACAGGGTACGGTGATCTGTACGCATGTGAGGCGGACATCATGTCGGGAGAGGTGCCTTCGGCTATAGAGCAGTAGCCGAGGGCTCTTAGTGCCGAGGACCCCTGAGTGCCGAGGGCTGCTGTTTTTTGTCGTTTTCTCCCAGTTTCTTAGTTTGCTTGAGAAACCCGTTCTGTGAGAGTTTGGAGCCTTCGGCCAGGAGGCCGAAGGCACCCCCGGTGTGTATTGCGGGCTGCTTGGTACTCTGGGCGCCGTGATTTGGGCTTGTTGGGCCTTCTGGGCCTGTTGGGCCTTTGCTGGAGTAGTAGGAGTCTGTGAGTCGGGTGTTCCCGGGCCATATACTCCATCAGGAGTCCCTCACTCCTTTTGCCGAAAGGTACTTGAGGGAAAAGGAGTAATTTGTGCTTGCCCTTTGATGTTGTCCTGTCGTAACCTCTGAAGTCGGTGAGGAGTTGTTGCTTTCACGCCCCTGCCGAAGGCAGTCCCTCAGTTACCCACATGTCGGGACTTGAGGGCTTGCTTTGCCGTTTGTTTTGAATTTTTTACCAATTTTGTAATTTAATGTTTTTCCCGAGGGGGTTCTCCAGTTCCCCACTCCTTGAGGCACTTGTAAAGTGGTGAAAAGGAGTAGAGTAGTTGCGTTGCTGTTGTGGGCCGAAGGCTGACGCTTTTCGTTTCATTTTGGGGGGATGCCTCGTTAAAAACCTCATTAGGAAAAACCCTGTGGGAAAAAAATCCTAGTGAGGGAAAAAGAGTGCACCGAATTCCCCCAACGATGAATCGAAAATGTGAAACCTTGGTCAAAAATGGAGAATAACGGTAATGCCGAAGGCTCTTCTTCTTCTGAGTGCTCATGTGTTGATTGGCCAAAGGCTTGCTGTTGATGTCCTGGGGTGCCGAAGGGGAGCCCCTCAATCTGGGGATCGAGGGCCTGATGGATGAGGGCAGCAGTGGAGTGGTTACCGGGGGGTCCACTGTTTGTTGATTAGTTGGTGATGAAAATACCCGAGGGCTCCCATTACCTGTGTGCCATAGGCTATCCGTCAATGAGGCAACTCCCCGGGGGCTACCCGGTTTTACAGTGCTGAGGGGGAATCCCCGAGGGGTGCCCTGATATGAAGCCTTATGTTTCCGAAGGAGTGATCCCGAAGGCGTCTGTTGTGTGCTGTGTGGGGCACAACCCGGGGACGTCTCTGGGGAAGTGTACCCGGAGGCTCTCCCTGATGAAGTGTAGTGAAGTAGAAAACCCGGGGGCTTCCAGAATATAGCCGTTGGAATACGTAACGTCAAGTTTATAGCCGTTGGGGGGGTACACGTGGAGTGTTGCCGTTGGCTGCTCGTGGGCGGGTGTCACCGGTTGGGTGAAACGACGGTGTGTAATGATGACGCTTGGCCGGAGGCCCAGTTTTCGGGCCCAAGCCCAGACTCCGGAGTCTATAAATACCCCATGGCCAGGCCATTCACCTTGTGCGTCCGATATTGTTAGCGAAGCTCTGCCAAATTTTCTAGAGAGAGAAAATCACCCTCGATCACAGCAACTTTCAGAGGTCAGTTCTCCTTCCGCCCTTAGCTCCATTTGAGTATTTAGTTTTTGGCCTTAGGGTTAGTCTTTAGGACCCTTCAGGACCCCCCCCCCCCCCCTTTGTACGAGTTTCCCGACCCCTCGCCCTTTAGAAAAATGTCGTCAGCTAGTGATTCCCGAGACATCTCCGGGGAGGCTTCAGTGAACGTTGAAGTGCTGTCTGATGTGGAATCCTCGAGCGAGCAGCTCTCGGTCATCGATGATAGGGCCGTAGCCGAGGCGGTACAGGGTGACCTTCAACTTGAGCTCGAGGCCGAAGACTTCGAGCAGGTGAACGCTGATGAGGAGCTTGCTATCGCCTGTCAGGTGGCCGAGGACGAGGCCCAGAAGGAGGGCCTGAAGGTGACTGTAGCTATCCCTCCCCCTCGGTGTGGTACTGAAGCTGGGAGCTCCCGGCCTATAGACGTTGTACCCCTCAGTGTGGCCCCAGGGCAGAAGAGAAAGAAGGCGAGGATGGCTCCGAAGAAGAAGCAAGCTGCCGTCGACGCTGGCCAGCCACTGGGACTCCCCGAGGGCTATTCCTTCCTGAATACGGCCGCCTTGGAGGTCAAGAACAAAGCTACCCGAGGGGAAATGATGGCGGTACAATTTTTGGTAGGGCCTTCGGCGCAAGTGGTAGAACCAAAGCCGGATGATGTGCTCCTTCGTGCCCCCGACGGCTGTTTTGCCGTACATCTGCTATCGGTGGAGCTGGGTCTCAGATTTCCCCTTCATCCCTTCGTGTTGGAGTACCTACGCTTCGTCAAGCTAGCCCCCTGCCAGTTGACCCCGAACAGTCACTCATATCTGGCAGGGTTCCTATCACTGTGCCTCAGCCGAAGGGTCCCCCCAACTCTGGAGCAATTCTTCCTGTCATTCAACTTATGTCGGGGGGGGGGGGGGGCATTCGAACGCCGGGGGCTATGGTAATCTGCAGCAGCTCCCGAAGTTCAGGATCTTTGATGAGGCGCCTTCGTCTCACAAGGGGTGGAAAGACAAGTTCTGCTATATCCGGTTGGCCGAGAAGCCCTTCTCCGCTCCGCTTGGTGACAGGTTTCGGCGGCACCTGAAGGCAGAAGGGTATGGCCTCGAAAAGAATGGGCGGGTGTTGTCCAAGAAGCTGGAGGGTTCCGATAAGCATGTGTCCATCAAAGGCGCAACGCTCTCCAGTGAGTTGTACAAGCTCGGCTTCCGTCGGTACCGGCTGATGGGGGAGAAGGAGGAAGGCTACCCCATGATTGACCGCGTATATGAGAGTGCCGAAGGTTGTTGTAATGCCGAGGGCTTCAATTCTCATACTTAGAAAAATTTCTTCCCCCTTTTTTTTGCTTTGTTGTAATAGTGAACTAACCCTTGTGTGCCTTCTTGTGTTTCAGGACCAGACATGGATGCTCGGAACCTGGTTAAGCTGAAGAGGCAACTTGCCCGGGAGGAGCAGAAGAAGGAGGCCCCCGCACAGCAGAGGGCGGTCGATGAGATCTTCCCCAAGGCGGGAGCGGCCGAAGAGGCCAAGGAGGTGGGGCCCGTCCCGGAGGCCGCCGTCGGGGGCTCCCCCGATCTGGAGCCGAAGAGGAAAAGACTTGGGAAGGACCCGGCACAACCGGAGGGGAAGAAGAAGAAGAAGAAGGGGGCCCCGGAGTCGAAGGAAGCCCCCGTTGTTGTCGTAGACGAATCTTCTCCTCCCAAGCCTTCGGGTCAAGCCAATGATCTGACATGGCCCCTGGACAAGGTCCAATTCTCCATCACGAAGGGGACTGCTATCATGCACGGGACCTTGAACCCGAAGGAGTTTCTGAGGGGTGCCACCCCTCCGACCGATAAGTCCGTGCTTTCCCGTCAGGCCGACGATGTCCTCTGCTCTAAGGTTCTGATGGCCTCGGTTACGGTAAGGTTCCTTCCCTCTTTTTTGTAGATAACTTCATTCTTTACATGTGTAGTGGCTAAACCTCCGGCAATTCATGTCTGCTTTCAGGCGAGCCTTGGCCTTGGTGAACTTGTCCAGAGGATAGAGCAGTATGACTCGGAGAAGAAGAAAGCCGCTGAAGCACTGGCTGAGGCCCGAAGGCAGCTCAAAGAGGCCGAGGACGCTCGCAAAGCTGAGCAAGAGGCTTTCAAAGAAATCTTCGAGGGCTCCAAGACGGTGGCTAGAGCCGAAGGCAAAGCAGAGGCGGAGAAAGCTGCGGCCGATGCTGCCAAGAAAGCCGCAGAGGATGCCGAGGAGGCCCGGATCAAAGCTGTCGCCGAAGCCCGGGAGGATGCTGTTGCCTCTTTTGCTGAGGAGGGATGGAAAGCCGAAGGCCGGCAGGAATGGGTGGCTTCA